ATATGCACCTACTGCCCTGAATTATCCCTGAAAAAAACACTTAGTGACAGTTAACTACTAAGCTAATCCGTCAAAAAAAATTCAGCGGCAAGTGCAGATTGTGCAAACGTTTCCACAAAAAAAACCAACTTGCTGTAAAGTTTTTTTTTTAAGTTTGTTAAAAAAATGCAGTTTAAACAATAAACAAAACTTTACTGGATCTAAAAAAATTTTAGTTTTAGTTTTTTAAATGTCAATACCATTTAAAAAAAAATTTTTCTTAAGTTAATTCTAATTCTTTTAAAAACCAAAAAAAGCAAATAAAATTTTTTTGTCTTTATAACTCTAACATAAAAAAAGGGATTGACTTATAATATAGAACAGTGAAAATGAAGAAAAAAATTATGTACATTAGAGCAAACTCTTACAGAGTGAAATACTATCTGCGATAAATCCAAAAAATTGAAGTTCTAGTTATTTTAAAAAAAGCAAGTCTTGTAACTTGGGCTTGGGTCTTGTAATGGAAAAAAATGGCCATAGTAATGTTATCTGTACGTACAGTCCACCAAAAAAATTAATGTAGAAACTCTCATCTCTAATCCGTACCCATAAAAAAAAACATACAGAACGTAAAGAACCAACAGCGACCGTTTAAAAAAACGAACACTCCACATAAAGCGACCATTGCATAGTAATAAGAGTTTTACTGCCCAGATTTGACGGTACCACCACGACAACAAAAAAAATTTTATAAAGCGACCAACTCCATAAAACCGAACAATAAAAAAAAAACAGATTGTCTGTCAAACCTCGATATAGCGACCAAAAAAAAATAAATAGACCAACACCAAATGAGCAGAGTGTTACGAAAAAAATTTAAGGGCGTCCGAAACATCTAAACAAATCTCATAAAAAAAACAACATCATATTAACCAACCACTTTATTATTAATCAAGTTCCCTGTTAGCCAACCCTTATATGTCGGGCACTCTCAAGAAAAAAAATTTAGCTCTAATTCCTGAATTACAGACGAGAGTCCGAAAAAAAATCGCARGAAGAAGAGGTATTCAGACGAGTGAGCTGAAAAAAAGASGGATGATAACCAATGTTTGGGATAGCTGTGGCACCGCTGATGACGTCGCGAGCTGTTGAGGTTCTCTCCACAAGAGAAAAAAATTTTCTAAGGATCTAAAAGAATTGTTTGATTATTCTAAAAAAAGGCCCAATCAATCAAATACATAGATACTCAAATATTAAAAAAAGATCGACTACATTCAATCGATCATTCATTCGAGTAAAAAAAAAAATCAATCAAYCAWTCAATCMATTATCCACTTAATCAAAAAAACAATCATTCAGTCAGACAGACCATCATGATCGCATCAAAAAAATTGGCGATCAAGCAATCATTCAACTAGTCATGCATTAAAAAAATGAATCAACCTCTAAATCAATCAGTCAGTCAATCAAAAAAAAAGTCAATCAATCAATCAATCATCCAGTCAATCAATCAAAAAAAAAACCAATCAACCAATCAATCAACCAACCAACCAATCAAAAAAACAATCAATCAATCAACCAATCATCAATCAACCAATCAAAAAAACAATCAATCAACCAACCAACCAATCAATCAATCAATAAAAAAACGAGTCAGTCAATCAATCAATCAACCAATCAATCTAAAAAAAAATCAATCAATCAATCAATCAATCAATCATTCAATCAAAAAAAAAATCAATCATCCAATCAATCAATCATCATGCCATCCAAAAAAACAATCAATCAATCAATCAATCATTGAGTCACTCATCAAAAAAATCTGCACTTTTTATTAAATCGCAGCAAACAAGTAAAAAAAAAAGTATATCATAGTTTCTTACCTTATTAATGAGATGTTAAAAAAAATCACGAAAGTTCTGGTTGAAGATAAGATAAAGACAAAAAAAAATGGCTGAGTTAGCGTGCGAAACAAGAATCATCCCTAAAAAAACCACAGTAGGAATTCTACAYTGTATCCACTCGTACTAAAAAAAAGCAATGGCGTGGTACGTGTGCACAGGGAGCCAACAAAAAAAAAAAACCGTAACGATCGTAACCAACATACGGACAATCTTGCGTTTTTGATTTTCAAGCCGACGTTGATGTTTGTCTGCGAAAAAAAACGGTGCTTTTCGTTGCCACATATGCAGAAGGATTATAAAAAAAAATATGATCATGACCAATAGTGGTATGACGTAGTGTAATACCAGTTTGATCATAAAATCAGCGATATGAAGAGATAGTTAAAAAAAAAGGTCTTCGTTGTCATTATTCGTCCACAATATTCTAAAAAAAATTCGTGTCGAGTTAGGAATCGGAAAGGGTCGGAATAAAAAAAATTCGTACGAGTATAGTACAGCGCTGAGTAGCCATAAAAAAAAGATGGCCCGACGCACCGCTCGGATACTCATCGGCGTCCGAAGTACATGGACGATGGCTAAGTACCTATCGATAGCAATGAAAAAAAGAGTCAATACCGAAGCCGACACAACCACGACTAGAAGGTATGGGTAGAGACGGCATAGTATTGCCCCGAGTAGAGTATTAAAAAAAGTGGGACCGGCGTATAAGTAGYTGATTTGTGGGGGGAAAAAAACGATAGAGTCCAATATGTCAGCGCTCGCCATGTTGAAAAAAAAAATATTAAAAGGATTTTTGATATTCCGATAACAGCAAAAAAAATATATGATAACAGAGTTGCCTGTGATGGAGATGATGAAAATCAGCACATTGACAATCGTTATTATCACCATTTGGCCAAAAAAAAAGGGTGTGTAGCAATAGGAACTTGSTGCGGTGCCTGTAAAAAAAGCTGTTATATTGGAAGCTGTTCCGTTAGATGTAATGAAAAAAATSTGCTGTTGGGTCGTGRTCAGGTCAGGCAACATTGAAAAAAAAAAGTTCAGCAGAGCTGAAAGGGAAAACGGAATATGAAATTCATTGATGTTAGACGCATATGGCTTCTTTCAAGCAATAGCCTTCTTCACGGTTTCCTGCGCCATCTTGAAAGGTAGCCGTAAAAAAAAATSGAAGCGAGACAACCGTTGAGCGTGCAATGATAGAAAAAAACTTTCACACTTCAGACAATTATTCACAGGTATCTATAAAAAAACGCTCAACGGTTGTCTCTCTTCGATGCAAAGGCACGAAAAAAATCCAAGATGGTGCAGTAACCACGAAGGAGACTATTAAAAAAAACGAACATCAAAAACAGTCATTTTCCTATTCTATGATAAAAAAAGGTTGCATTATATTCAGGTAATTAGTGATTTACATGAAAAAAAAATATATGCGCTATTTTCACAAAAATTCAAAGACACAAAAAAATCAATAGACTCCTTCACGGTTCCCTGCGCCATCTTGAAAAAAAGCTGTGCCTTTGCATTGAAGCGAAACAACCGTTGGGAAAAAAATGATAGATACCTGTGAATAATTGTCTGTAGGTGTGAAAAAAAATTTCTATCATTGCACGCTCAACAGTCGTCTCGCTTCAAAAAAATAGGCATGGCTACCTTTCAAGATGGCACAGGGAACCAAAAAAAAGACTATTGTGAAGAAAGGCTCGTAAAAGACAGAAAGGTTGCAAAAATACTTCCGCACCAAGGAATTTCATGAAACTTAAAAAAAATATACGTTATGTGTAATCGGTCGTCTTCGTCCTCGAAAAAAAAACCAACGGAAAGCATAAGTACATAAAGGGACATAAAAAAAAAATGCCCGAGGACCTTTTTTGATTCTCGACATCAATCCAAAAAAAGAAAGGGTGTTGTGGTTTCCCGAAACACTCGTTTGTTCTGCGTGACTCATTATCAACATCCTGTGACACCTGGCAGACTAAAAAAACTTTTGAGCCTTAGGGCTACTGACAAGTAAAATTCAAAAAAAACTATTAAGTAAATTAACTGAAAAAAAAACTACTCTTAAAAAAATTAAGCTAAATCGTTAATCAAGTGTAAGAAAAACACAAAAAAAAGAGGGCGTTGGCTTGGATAATCGAATAATCAACAAAAAAAAATAGCACAATTTAATTGAACATTAATCAATCCAATATAAAAAAATATTCGTGCATGTTTTAGGTTGTAGCTTTGACCAGAAAAAAAATTTTTTTTAAAGCAAAAACGATTTTGCTTTATAAAGAAAAAAAAAAAACGATTTTGCTTTATAAAGTATTTCGAAAAACAAAAAAACTTTATAAAGTATTTCGAAAAAAGGCTATGAATTCGAAAAAAAGAAAGTGATAACTAAATCAAAATCAAAATCTATATCAAAAAAAATGGCTTAAATTTTTGAAAGAGATGAGCGTTAATATAAAAAAATATCATTTAAAATCCGGCAACCATTCAACGTGAACAAAAAAAATGACACACATTTCGTTTTCAGTTTGTTTTTGTTTTTAAAAAAAGTTTTTTGTTTTTTTCATTCTGTCGACCTTTCTGACAAAAAAATATCAAATTTCACAATTTGGGTTTGCTTG